CACTAACTGTAGAGAAAAAAAGTTTGGACCATACCCTTCTTGTTGTAGGATATACTAATAAATAATCCAACTACTAACAATGATCAATATTTAGGACTCAATAAAGCTCTTTTTTTCTGATGATCAGGAACGAAATCAAAAATTGTACTGTGTGGGAGGTCAAAAAAAAATATATGGTTAAGAAATTTATGTAATAGGATCATTCAACGTGTTATTGTTAATGTCAGATATCTAGAAACAACAAACCTTGGAAAAATATATTTTTTTATGATATAATCGTTAATATTAATTTGGATCATGAAATCTAAAAATTAATTTGAAATCATATCATGGTCTACTTGTTTTCTCATTTATGACATTAATAATCACTACAAATAAATTATTATCATAAATATTATTTTCTCGTTACGATTGTGAAAGTGAGTTGTGGGTTAGTGCATTGAAAGTGATATAAGTCATGTTTGTAACACAATTTGTGATGTATAAGATTTTTAAAAACCTAAGATAAGATATAGAATTTTTGAAAACCTCAAGGAAGTAAAGTGTATTTTCAAACATATGAAAAATTGCGAGTTTAAAACATATGAAAAATATTATTTGAATCTAATTTGAATACTTAATGTACTATAACCATTGAATCAATAACAAATTTTATTTAACGTTGAAACTCACGATTAATTCAATAATTATATTAAAATCACGTCATTACGTGTCAATAACTTTTCACCCCCTATGCCATTGTAGAGAGAGAGAAAAACGAAAAGCAACCAAGAAAGTTAGGGAAGATAATAGTTGTCACATGCGAGTTGCAGGAAGCTTTGTCTTTTATTTGGGTAATTATAAGGAGACAGTTGTTGTTAAAAACTTAATTGGAGGCTTCTCACTGAACCCCAGGTGGTGGCCAGCTCATGCTTTGCAAGTTAGATTCAAAAAAGATAAAAAAAGAGGAGGGTATGTTATCGAAAATTCAAACTTTTTGATACCTAGAGAAAATAATTCTCAATCATCGATCATGGTTTGAATTATTTATAACCATTCATGTAGAAATGATAAGATAAATCTAAACAACATATGGGTTCAGTGAGATGTGTCATTTTGCTAATTTTTTTGGGTTAAACGGCTAAAATGTTCAAATTAATTTATGCGTATTTCAATTAATTTTCTGTTCGGTTCGATTAAAGGTAAACTATCCACACCAAAACAAAAATATTCATAAAGAATAAATCTCTTTCGGTTTAGTCCCAAAAAGTTGCTAAGATTTGAAGTTTGTCCATGTTTGGTAACTATAAATTTAGCCTAGGGTTTGAAATTCGGTCCGATCATGAAACTTTTGTTCATGGGTTTCGTGAAACTCATGGGGGGTGGGTTTCATATGTGGGTTTGGGGGTTTTATATTCAAATGATATTTATACCCTTCATATATTCATACTGATATTTAGATTAAATTAGTTAAGAGGCACAATAGTCATTTAAATATAAATATATTATTGTAATAGTCATATATCCCTGCGCATACCAAATATGGGTATGAACAACATTAAATATTAAATTCGTTCATTAAATCCCATCTTTGGTCAAACTCGAGTTTAGACAAGTCAATCTAAACTCCTCCCAAAAAGCATATCAAATAAGCCCTAGAAACTGTAGGTAGAAGGCCCCTCTAGTTCCAACCAAACCCTCCCATGGTCAGTCCATGGGTTTAGGTAAAGAGTTTGAATTGTTAAAGATCTTGATTGGTGCGACAGAATGTATTCATATACACGAGTTACATATTATAAATTTGAGTTCGAGAATCAACCGCTCCAAAATCGAGTATCGTGACATCTCACAGCCAACAAAAATGCTTTACACTGGGTCAAGTGTGAAAAGGGCATTTGACACCTCAATTTTTCCATTGAAAAATGCCCACATCTTGGCCTATTCAATGCTTGGTTTTGCTAAAAACTAACCAATTGTCCTAATGTCACATTAACTTGAACGCATTGTTTTTTATAGTTTCAACAAAAACATAGAAAAAAGAGCTTCAACCATTGACCGACGTACAAGTTGTTTTTATTATGTTTAATGATTAATTCTATTTGAACTTAAAAATCTGATTAAATGACGTGATTTTATTATAGTCATTCAATTAAAATCAAATTCTAATGTCTAAGGTTTAATGTATCTCACGGTCAATCCAATGGCACTATTCCTTTTTTTCTTTTTTTAATTACATAGAGTTCAAACTTGTATAGATTATCCACTCGAAATCTTGTGACCAGGTGTAATCTGCCAAATTAATTAGGTAAACGTGTTTAGGTTTCATGTTCATACATACCAAATGCTTATATTTGTCAAAGCCTGCCCAAAAGTCGGTAGATGTTTGCGTATAAAAAGCAAAGATTAGTATATTTTTTATTCAAACCCCATAATTACCTTAGTAATTAACTTTAACCCCACTAGGTTTTTGGGGGAAATTGCATATTATTTCGTGTGTAGTTTGATCGAGTCGGATTTAGAAAAAATGCACTATGCATACCCTAAATATTTATAATATAGAATAGAGTAAATTTTAATAAACTTATTCGATGGTCTCAAATAAACTCATCTAACGACTACTAACATTCTTTTCAAAACTATTTATATTTCATCGTGCCTTCAGACACGAGTTACCCTAGTAAAATATAAGATGTGTCATCTCATTTTAGATAAGAAATATATATGACTAAAAATTCAATCTACATACGTATTTCAAGGGAGAACAATTTTACACACCTAAGTATCACCGAAGTCGCTAAAGTCTTACCTTGGGTAGAGGTACTATTTCTTTTATTATTATTATTTTTTTTAACGATCAAAGATGTCCGAACTAACAGGTCATTCACACTAAAACTAAAATATTTATAAAAGATAAATTTTTTATAACCTGGGACAGTCAACGGCAAAACTTTGTCATGGTCCTAATTTTTTTAGAACCCCTGTGATTTGTTTGGATGAAATAAAGTATCGTGACATATCACAATCAACAAAATGCTTGTACACTGGGTCAAGTATGAAAAGGACATTTGACCTCAATTTTATCATTCAAAAATGCCCAGATCTTTGGCCTATTCTATTCTTGGTTCTGCTAAAAACTAGTCAGTGGTCCTAATGTGAGACTAACTTGAACGCATTGTTTTTGTAGTTTTAAAATAAACATCGAAAAATGAGCTTTAACCATTGACCAACGTGCACCTTCTTCTTCTTCTTTTTAAAAAAGTGCAAAACGCGGACTTTTTAGGAAATCATTCAACATAGTACTAGTCTAATTTAAACACGTTTAACTGTAGAAGTCTGATAAAATTTAGTTTATTAATGCTGATATATTCGCACCATCGTGTAACTAGTTTCCCTTTTTTTAACATAAAATTAACACAATTAATTGTTGTCAAAATCATAGTATTATAGAAATTCTATGGAGTCAAAATTTGAGAGATTTATTCAATATGGATGGTCTACTTTTAAGCGGATCAGAAAGAGAATTAATCAATGTACAAAAAATAAATAAATAAATAAAGTATTTCCATGCCCAAGAAGTCACTAGATGTTTTGGTATAAAAACCAAAACTTAGTACATTTTTTGTTCAAACCCCGTAATTACTTTACTTAATTTTAACCCACTAAGTTTTGGGGGAAATTGCACATTATACCCCGTGTGGTTTGATCGAGTTAAGCATAACCCCCGTTGTTTCGGAAAAATTGCACTATGTACTCCCTAAGTATGAGATAATAAAATGTCTCACCTCATTTTGGATGAGAATTATGGCCAAGACTTCAGTCTGCATACGTATTTTCAATGGCACAATTTTACACGGTATAACTAGAGTCGCTATAGCCTAATTTTGGATAGAGTTGGGGTAGTCATTTTGAGAATGATTTGACATAGGATATGAACCAAACATAAAATGATATAATCAATCATGGAATGTTGTGATTAATATCACATTTTTATGATCGATCATGAGTGTCTACGATTAATCATGACCTTTTTTAAACAGTTGTAATTTTTTTTTAAAATTATAATTTTATCGTACAAAGTAAGTAACTAACAGTATCAATACCAATTTTTATTTTTTTTGGTACCATAGAGTTTTTCCCAAAATTATGATATTATGTCTGATACTTAACATCACCGTTTAATAATAAAACATTATATAGGATAAGCAGACTCCATTATTAAATAAGGTGGCCATTGATAATTATTAAAATAATAAAATTCACTTAATCTACGTAATATTTCACGTATCAGTGATGATGCAATATCATCGTTACATTAAAAACATTCACAAAAAAGAGGGTCCAGAATGTACGATGGTTTCTTCGTGATTAGTTTCAAACTTTCAATTCAAATAAAAACACCATAAGTTTAAAATTATATGGAAATTATACTATGGGCCCCCAGCCACGTTTCCTCCTCGTATATTAATTTTATCACCTAGCAACTTCAAGTTTTAGTTATTTCAAACTCCCTGAAAATGCTGTGTCCGTAAGTTTATTTGTTGTTTCAAAGTCAATCGAACATTACGAATTACCTTAATTGATATACTATTTCTAATTTGAGTACTTTCCTCAGATCGATTGACCAAAACTCTCTTTTTGACTAAATAGATATGGGCAGAGAGTATTGATTTTATATTGTTTCAAAGACAATTATTTGGTGAAATTAGACTAAAATACCCATAGATTAATCAATTTTTTTAAGGTAATATGAATTCAATTAGTGTAAATTGCACGCAATTTGGCTATACATATATATGTCATTTTCGAGTGAAAATCTAATAAACTAATGTGAAACTGATAGAAAGATAGAAGAAAGTTATAGTAAAGAAGATAAGTGGGATGAAAGCGGTTAATTAAGGACTAAAGGGGTACTGAATGTAAATATTTTTAGTTATTGATAAGTTTTCATTTCCGTGTTTAAAATAGTGTAAAAAAGCTTAACGGTTTTTCTATTTAAACCCCACGAATGCCTCATCTTCCTTCCCCCTCTCCTCTGCTTCTTTCAGCCTATCTGCAGAGATTCTCTCTCCCTTTCTCTCTTTCTCTCTCTGAAAGCCCTGTTTCTCTCTCTAGTCTCTACATTGGCCTCTCTTTCTTGCTCTACTCATCCCTATCACGTTTCTTCCTCTCTAACGTTCAGTTATTTCAATTCTGGTGAGTTCTGTTCTCGAGGATTGTCATTTACTTGGGTTCATTCACGTTCATTATCTTGCTTCACATATAGAGAGACTTCAAAAACAGTCAATTTCTTTGATGATGAAACCATTGTCAGGGAAATTCTTGCATTTTATCGCTCTAAAAACATAAATTTTCAGTTATCTGGGTTTTTTCTGTTGATTTTGATTACCAAATGTGTGTTCATGGGAGATATCATAGTTGGTTTCCTTTGGTTTTTAATAGTTTAGATATTTTGTGAAAAAGGGTTTTGTGTAATACATGAACAAGTTGTTTGTCTTTGTGGCAGATTTAGTTTCTGGACACAACTAATTTTAAATATTTATGAACAACTTTTGAGGTTGTGCATACATTTTTTTTTTCAAAAATTTCAAATCTCTACAAGTTACTGGTCCACTTTTTCTTGGTTTTATATATTTTTTTTGGTTCAACCGTTGTCTGTACGAATCGTTTGGGCCACTTACGCTCACCCAGACCAATTCCCTCTTCGTCTGGTCAAAGTAGACCATCTGTACCGGTATTGAAGTATTAATGAGGGATGAATTCCTCCTGACCTTAAAAGATTATCAAAATTCAAATTGAGAATGTCTAATTTACAGTCTGTGATATCGCTTGAGTTATCCATTGGGGTTATTGGCTCAGTATTGGAAGTGGTCGTGGATTGTCCATTCAGACACTCATGAGGGCCTCATCCTAGTTGTTGGTTTTTTGAGTCAAGAGTATTCTAAAGATTATAGACCCCAACTTTTCCCAAGTCATAAAAATTTTCCGATTGAGAATAAGATTGAATGTTGATATGAACTTGGGTGGATTTAAACTATCCTGGCACGCAATGCTTACCTCTTTTCATTCTCTACTCAAGCTATTTTAGATTAAGATGGAGTACGAGGAACGTTTCAGGCAGGTTCAGAGGCCAATATATGATTGTCTTCTGTTTGGTAAGTTTTAACTGCTTAAAATAAGTCAATTTCAAATTGCATTTGTCTACCAAAAAGTATCTGACTATATGTTTGTGCTTGCAGATCTCGACGATACTCTTTATCCCCTTAGTTCTGGTTTAGCAGTGGGATGCCGCAAGAATATTGAAGGTAAACTTGTTTCAAATTGCATTTTTTTTTCGGTATTTTCTACGCCTTCAAATGCTAATTATTTGGATGAAAACTTTTTCAGATTACATGATTGAGAAGCTAGGCATACATAGGAGCAAAATCCCTGATTTGTGCAACCTACTTTACAAGAATTATGGGACAACAATGGCAGGCCTTAGGGTATGGTTTTTGACTTTGTTCTGAAAAATCTGTGGGATTGTTCATTCAAAATAAGCATGTTTGACACTAATACTAGGTGGGTATCACTTTTGCAGGCAATTGGTTATGATTTCAACTATGATGAGTATCATAGGTTAGGAACTAAACCCCATATACATCACTTTTTTTTGGTTTCATGAATGATTGATCTTGTTTCAGTGACTTGGTTATATATGGTTAAGGTGATTGATTGTTTACTTTTCTGTTGCAGTTTTGTTCATGGGAGATTACCTTATGAAAATCTAAAACCTGATCCTGTTCTAAGAAGTCTTTTGCTTAGTGTACCTCTTAGGAAAGTAGTAAGTCCTTTTGTCCTAAATTGATATTACACTGAATGTCATGCATAGCTCTCTTCTTACTCATTTTGATATTTTTTCCTCTCTGCTGCATAGATCTTCACAAATGCCGACAGGGTCCATGCTGCTAAAGTTCTTAGCATTCTTGGGCTAGAAGACTGTTTTGAAGGAATAATCTGCTTTGAGACTTTGAATCCCACCCACAAAAACACTGCATCTGATGATGAGGATGACATTGAATTTGCGGGCTCAATGGAAATTCCTAGTAACAATACCAGAAGTAAGGAGATTTTTGACATTATTGGCCATTTCTCTCAACCTAATGCAGGATCAGTGTTGCCAAAAACACCAATTGTCTGCAAACCATCTGAAGATGCTATTGAACGGGCACTGAAAATAGCTGAAATCAACCCCCAGAGAACAGTAAGAATATGACCTTTAGGATTTGAATAACACTTCCATATATAATGTTACTTTCATGTACTTGTGGCACTTTGGTGTTGAATTATGTTCTATTTTTTTGGGTTCTCTCAGCTGTTCTTTGAAGATAGTGTCCGTAACATACAGTCCGGAAAGCGTGTAGGCCTCTACACAGTGCTGGTGAGTCAGTGCGAACTTTGTAGAATATGTATGATTACAACCTACTTAAGACTAAAAATGTTCCACAAAATGAACTGCACATCTAGTCTTATCGATTTCTAATCCTTTTGTAATGTACAAATGTATGCAGGTTGGAAATTCTCAGAGAACCAAAGGTGCAGATTATGCATTAGAAAGCATCCATAACATCAGGGAAGCATTACCAGAGCTTTGGGAAACTGATAAGATGTCTGAAGTTAGTTATTCTGGCAAGGTTCCACTAGTGGAAACATCTGTTACAGCATAGATTTATGTCATACTCTCCTGTGCCAGGAATTCCATTCTAATGCCCTGTTTTATTTCCCATGATGTAGATTGTTTGTTGTTATCATCAATTAATAAAAAGTGGCATAGAATGTTTACATAAACCGCGTCTATTACCCCCGTTCCTGTTTCAGTCATCTCATGAGCAGTCTGTGATCATAGATATGTATGTGGAATGTCAAGCTAATCACAATGTAGCTTGGTTTTGGTTTGTTTATGCTGATGTGGACATAAATTCTTTTCTTAAGAATTGGTAAATAATGGCATATTTGACGCCTGGAATAATGGAAGATAGCGAAAGCATGTATATTATAAAACCAATTATTTTGGAGTATTAGGGCATTTGTTGAAACTTAGGTCATTAAGAAGATAGACTTGAATCCGTGGCGTTCCCATAATGTTGGCACCAATCAAGGTCATTGTATTGATTAACAGTGTTTCAATCATCAGCTCAATAATGCCATTGCCGTGGCTTACTTTGTCTTGTGCCATGAACCCTGTTTGTTGGGGCAACACAAAGATGATAAGCACATACATTGAATATATAGTGGGCCATCTTCAATTGTTGATGCTACAGAAAAGAGCCATGGGTTTAATTATGTTCATAGAATTTTGTAGTAACATATTGCCCTCAACTATCAGAGACTTAGCAGGTTTCGAAACAGATCAGTGCAGATCTCATGGAACAACAAAAAAGCAGTTGAGCACAATTAGTAAATCAGATGGAAAAGTGACAACCAGCACATTGGCACCATACCTTCAATTCCTGAACAAAAAAGCTGTTCTACTCCCTATCATGCTCCATCTCTTTGCTTTCAACCAGCAGAAGAGGCGAGTACAAGTACGACATGGTGAGCAGTTCAGAAACCACAAGGCAACGTTATCATCACGCTATTTTTGTTTTCTATTTCATTTTCAACAGTTACCATACAGATCCATAATATAAAATAGGGACCGCCAAATAACAAATAATTGGGTGGTCAACAAGGTTGTGATGCAATAGACTCGTAAAACCTCAAAAGAATGATTATGCAACAAAAATGATATCTTTATATAAGTGTAATCTGAACCATTGGGATAATTATATTTACTTTTTGACACCTTCAAATGGCTGCCCTATAATTAAACTTACTCGCCCTGCACGACAGACCCTCAAGAACAGCTGCAACAACTACTGCACAAGCTCTAACACCCCAGGCTAGCATTGCTCCCTACAGTTCCAACCAGTTTAAGCTTCATGGTTTAGCAATTAAGAGTACTATGGCAGCTTGCAATACCACCAAAAATGGATTTGAATCTTTCAGAGCAGCAAAATGAATATATTTATGTAAGCAGTTTAATCTCAAAATAGCAACAATAATCTGCCCCCATGCTCCCAAACACTCATTTTTAGGTGTGAACAAGAGAAAACTTGTTCAAGTCTTCAAAATGAGACCGTTAAAAATTAGTCGTTTTTTGGGTCCTGGTGAGATTCAATCCCAGGATGGGGAGGAGAGAGTAAGCCTTTTGGATGCTAGGCGAAGCCAAGCCACCCGGGCTTGTCCTGTGAGTCTCTGTATCAAGTGAATTCCTGAATCAACTAAATTAAACCACCAATTATGTGCAAGGTGACCCCAATTATACTTTTTTTTAATTGTACTGAAAAGCATAACCATCTCTCAACTCACAGGACAAATCAAGGTTTGGAAGGCACCTAAATGCTGGTTTTTACATCACTTAAAGACTACACCGGTTACAAAAAAGCAAGGCTTTTAGTACTGAAAAAACCTTGCAAGCACATTCCAACTAACGTGTTCACATGAGTGCATAATCAGAATGGCTCAGGACAGCTTTGAATGGAACAGGTTACCCATAGACAAACCTTTCATGACCATGCAGGGCAGGGGTTGAAAGATGAAAGGGTGAAACTGAGGAATTAGAACAATTTGATCATGTCATGAAAGCTCTTAATAAGCTTCAAGCATCTACATATGTGTAACAGAACATACATGACAAAACAAAAAATAAACAAAATGGGAGGATCTGACTGAAATGAATGTGTTCGACAAATTCCACTGCAATTGTAATTGGATCCATGTTCTTATCTCACCAGCCCAAAGACATATCACAGCAAATTGCCGGGTTGTTGAAATTTGAATCTCAAAACACCAACTTAGACATGATACGAAATATAGACCATTGACAACAATTCACCTTGCTTTGCACATACACTTGTGTGAATGTTGTGAGAGAGAGAGAGAGAGAGAGAGAAAGAGGGAAGGGGTTTTGAAGATACCAAAAAAACAAACTTAGGCATAATACAAAATATAGACCATTCAGGAGTATCTGCCTTTTCTATTCACATATTTCATACCTATCTGCAAGATAAAGAAACATTTACCTCAGAATCCAACATTGTATTTTGGGGCTGAAAATCTCAGTTTTTTTTTTTTTTTCCAGAAGAAAAGAAGTCTGGTTCGTTTGGACCCAGACTTATTGGGCAGCTTTTACATTAGTGTTTTTTAGGCAAAAACAGCTTTTATTAACACCAAATAAAAGCTGAAAAAATGGGACTCATCAAAGGACTTTCAAAAAAAAGCCTGCTTTTTTCGGAAACACTACAAACGGTTCCAAGAGATTTTTTAACTCTTACTTTTTCATTTCACTTTTTAAACCTCTATTTTGCACCCAAAATAACCGGTTCCAAGCAGCTCCATTGTCTAAATGGTTAAATCGTCAAACTAAATTGAAACAATTGTTCCTGTAATTCTTTGACATCAAAATTGGTATAGTCACTGTTAGCATTCATTGTCTAGTACCAAACCCACTTCCTCTTTTCAATTAAGCACGGGCTTTAGGCCCCAATTAAAAAAGAGACCCCAAATTTATAGGTCTCTAAAATAATCCATACAAAAAATTTAAACTCTGAGTCCAACAAAAAAATAAATTAAAATTGTGAAAAATAGAAACAAATACAGTTTACTCTTCTTTTTTGTCAACAAGTACAGGCATGTACTTTTTAAAACTTTAAGGGCAAATATTTACCGAAGAAGATGAAGACGAAGCAAGAATTATTTCATTTAACTTATGGCAAATGTGATTACAACATTTATTTATACACTCTATTAGCTTCAGTCTATACAAACTATGGTTAGCTTTAACTATAGTTAATAACTAACTTAGTTGTTGAGGTTATAACAGAATCAGTCAAGTTGTTGGGTTTGGAATCCTACTAGTGATGTGCTTCGATGTTGATGTTGTTAGACCAAAAGCAGTTTTTTAGTGTAAAAAAATAGAGTTTTTGGTCAACTTTGAGTCTAAATTAAAGTTGGACCCATTAGTTATTTTGAATAAATTTACTTGGGTTCATATTCTACTCTGTGAGGAGTATAACGTGGAATATTCACTTGTTCAAATCGAGTAAGAAATGAATGAGAAAATAAGGCTCCAAAGTGACCCTCTTGAAGAGTGAAAATAGAAGATGTACAATGTAGGGTTTGACACCAATCCCACATTGGTTGAGTAAGAAATTCAACATAAGTATATATAGCTCAAGTTTGCTCTATGGGTTGGGCTCCAAGGGGTACTACAATTTTATGAGCGGAACGAGCACCTACATGCCGTTGGGTGTACCACACACGCGCACTCCACCTCGCCATGACCCAGCCGGGCAGGGCTCAGTTGCGGGTGTGCTTTAGACCAAGTTCTATCTTTTTTGGAGAAAAAATTCATTTAATTTAATTGGGCATAAATTTCTTAACCCGAAATTAATTTCGGTATTTGCTCCAGTCCGAAAACAGTTATTCAAGGTGTCTATTGGCTAGGTAGTTTATGGGTTGTGTCCTTTAGTAAAGTAACTGTCCGGAAAGTCACCAATGCATCTATAAATACCCTGGTGATGCATTCATTTTATTCATTCAGATAACCAGATTGTTTTCGACATTAAGTGTATTACATTTCGGCATTTTAAGGTAATACATTTGGAGAGTACACAACACAAGTTTTGGTTCGCTGTACGAACAAATTGAAATGCTATTTCTGTTCGTGGAAGATCATTGTATCCTAGGAGGCAGGCGCTCGGATTCCATAAGCACCGTGTGTGGAGACGAAATCTGTCTTAAGAATATAGTGTCAAACACTAGCCTTGATCTACTACGAGTTCAATAACAGTTCTTGCTCTGCAACCGGGTTAGTTTTTACATTAATTTGGCATAGAGTTACGTGTATCTGTTTGTTATAACTCTTTTGTGTTTACTGTAACTGTTTTGATTTGTGTTACGGTTCTACAGTTCACATTTACTATTTGTTTTATTTTAAGTTACATGATATCAGAAATATTAATAAGTGATTTTACAATTTTTGGAATACCTCAAACAACAGATGTAGGTGTTTTGTGGCGAGCTGTATGTGAATATAGAGCAATGCTAAGCTATTGAGCTCCTCTGTTGAGCTTAGCTGAAGATGCAGAACTCTAAGGTTGAGCTGTTGTGCTAATACCACCCACCCCCCTCCCTCCCCCTCAAACGAATAGGGAAAATGCCAAGGATGAGTTTGTCTCTTAGTAGAAGAAATTTGGATGAAGTGAGGCCTTTGGTGAAGACGTCTGTAACACCCCAACCCAGCCTTACTCCGATAATATAAATTAAATATATCACGTATTGGTTATGAAAACTTGTCTTTGAGATTTACAGATCGTCCATAGCAAAACGATACCATTGACTTCTTATACAAAAGTTTAAACATAAAAATACGTCGGTCCAACACTTACTAAATATAAACATAAGAGTTACACCAAGAGCGAACACACCGGCCTGATACCATACAAATTAGATACAGCCCAAAATATAGTTATAATAGTTAAAGTACATCCATAGCATTTAAAAATTAAATATACAATCCAAAAAGTTAACCACACTCGGATTCACTCATCACCCCTCCCGACTCGATCTTTGACTTCAACGGTGGATTTCAGGCTGGTGAACCAAAATTACTTGGACAAGTTTAAAGAAAAATTCAGTGCTCAATTGTATCACAGAAAAAAAATTAAATAAATAAATAGTCAACAAATGTTATAATGTATTAACTCAACCACAGAACTACACTAACTAACTACAACCTCATAATTTCTCTTACGAAAATCTGTCTCGAAAACTCAACAGTCTCAGAGTAAAAAGTCTTGTTTTGACACT